TGTTTCTATATTTCTCTGTAGTGCTCTGAGATGTTTCTCTTCTCCCACTAGGGGGCATTCGTATTATTGACATCGTTACCTTTGATAATGATTAAGTATCAAAGCTGCATTACAATAACCCTGGAAATCTGGTTTAGGAACGCAGGCTTCGAATGAGGAAGAAATTATTTCATTTTCAAGCGTAAGCACACTCAATTTGGAGTGAGATTTATCTGAGGAGTGTGAGACCATAAAAATGACGTCTTAAATCTCTCCAGAGTAGTGAGAGTTGGCACCTCAAGATCACAAAACCAGCTACAGAGCGCCAGAAGTCCTTTCTGCCCTTCTGAACCCTTTTCATAAAGTCTGAAATATACTGTAAGATACTTAAATGGATGCTGCAAAGCCATGTAAAATTAGCTAAAAAGTTTGTGGTGAAACTATGCTGCATATTTGACTTGGAAAGCAGAACATGTAAATCACATTGGATCGGGACACAGACGCAAAAAAACACTATGCACATTTCAATGTATTTCATACACACGGCTCTGCTGACGTGTTCCTGACTAAGAATTGACTTCAAGGTCTTCAATTGATTTATTTATTTTCAACTTGAAACTCTCTACTTCAGAATAAAAATGAGGATGTTTTCAGGACAAGTATTAGTCACTTTTTCAAATTATAGTTGAAAGAAGATCAGGAGTAAACAGCAGATTGAAATAGATGTCAAAACAATTGTCTAATGAAACAACCCACAATTACTGGTGAATATCTTTTTCTACAATGAATGCACTACTTATCTGGTTGTCATACATTGAATTAAAAAAAGTGCTTATTAGTAAACATAAAAATATGATTGTTTGTGTCAAACATTTAATGTGCAAATATTAACAGATCAAATTTACAAAAGCCCTGTTTAGTACTCTTGCTAAACAAAAAGTGGGTAAAAAGCAAGTCTGCGACGAAAAAAAAGGTGTTTGAATAAATAAGAAGCCAATACTATCACAAACTGCAAATGATGTTCCAACACTGTTTACGTTTGGCAAATTTATCAGTCATGGGCAAATGCTGACCTCGGATATGTGCTGTTTGTTTTAACAGGACTTGCAGTACCGCATTAATCCACAAGGTGGCAGCAGCTGGAAGTTGGAGACCGTCGGCTAGTTCCTTTTTCCTCTACGTTTCTTCCTTTTTCCTGTCCTTGGTAGAAGCGTCGGGATCTTCGCTCTCGGGACAAACACATGGCTAAACTGAGCAAGGAGACCAAACAGCGGCTGCAGCAGCTGTTCCAGTGCAGCCAGTTCGTCATCCGATGGGGCTTCATTCCGACCGTGCTTTACCTCGGTTAGTATTAAAACAAATGAAGGCGGAGGAGGGGAAAAACGAGACATGCATGGCTAATGTCGGCTAATTAGCCACGCATGCTAGCTTTTCACCGAGAGATACTGTTGATTTCCCTGTTTCTTTCTTCTTTTTGTTTCTTTAATGTGACGTATTTAAAGTTTTGTTGTGACTTTCCAGTATGGTGACCGACGCAGTTTTATGAACAAACCACCTTTTTTCATGACCCGAGAAGCGTAACATCAACCCCCCGGGGTTCAACACCGTAGTTCCTAATGGGGCCTAAGGGAAGGGGGTAAAAAAAAATACTACCTGATTTTTAGATCAGCAGCAATGATGGGGAAACTTGAGAACTCTGCATAGATGTGCTGTGGAGACTACTAATGGGGAACTTGAATCTTTTGCTTGGATGACCACACACTCTCTAGCCATCTGTGTCAGGATCTTCTCTGACTTCAGCATATCGGAATCACCAGTGCTGATGTCACACTCTCTCTTTTTTTAAAATCACACAGGTCTCTTCTCTGGTTTAGCCCCCCCCTTCATCCCCTCACTTAAAATGATCACAAACATACTTGTGACGTGGTTCTGTATTTTGTTGGGTTTTTCTGTGATAGGCCAACACAGAGTGATGCACACTTGTAAAGTGGAAGCAAATTATGGTTTTATATTTAAGTGTATGAGAAGTGAAGCAAGTGCATATATTGTGAATGAGTGTTTGGATGTTTGGTGTTGGCTCTGGAAAATGTTAACTCATGCCACACTTTTCAGATCTTTATTTGAAACGAAGCATTCTCAGCCTTGTCTGCTGTCCTTGAGATTCTGCTTCTTTTTTTTTTTTACTGGTTGTTTACACAATAAAATACAATGAAGTTTAAAGTTTGAATAAAATATGGAAAAAGAGAGGTGTGAAAATTCATGCAGAACTATAATTCAATGGCTTAAATCATTTCAGTGATTTAGAAACCCAGTGTTTTCAATCCCACAAAAAGCCAAAATGACTCAAGTTAACAAATAATGCATACTTATGGAAATTTAACATCAGTACATACCTCTGTTTAACCCTCCATACAACATGGCGAGTGTTGTATGTAGTAACCTCTGCTGATTGTATTTGCATTTTAGAAATATAGAATTCCCTCTGATTAATCTTCAGACTTTCATGTTATTACAACATTGAAGTAAGTGTCTTAAAATCTTCTGTGTGGCAGGTTTCAAACGAGGAGCAGATCCAGGCATGCCTGAACCTACACTGTTGAGGTAAGATTATCTTTTATTAAGGATTAATACTTAATAAGGCATCAAACCTTTTTTTTTTACTGAAATGAAACCATCTGGATTCTGAGAAGATGTAACTGTTGCAAGATTTTTTTGGGTCGGGGGCGCGAAAGAAGATGCCTGATTAAAAAAGGAACAGAATGTGATCCGACGGGCTTCACTTTCTCCGAAAAACATTTTGCGGGGTATATTTTGACTTTTGGACATTGTGGAACTTCCACTTGTGCAAGGGTCAGTTTTGTGAATTCACATGTAACCTTGATCAAAATGAAATGTTTCATGTAACTTCAATTCATATTAATTATAACTTCTTGCCTTTTTATGGTCACGTTCTTGACCTTACATTCATGGCTTCTCAAAAGTTTGTAGCGCTTTAAAACTTAATGTTTTTTTTTTTATGCAAGTAAATATTCCAAAACAATTATCCCTGTTTTAAACAATGGAAGAAAAAAAATGTCTTTCTATCCAAATCATCGATTTGTCTTCTAATTTGATAACGCAGAGTAAATAAGAACTGGTTTTCATGCACTTAACCCAGTTTTAAATTCTGGCATCTGCTCCACTCATATGTTGAAACCACAAAAACAAGATCCTCAAACTAAGTCACACAGAGTTCACTGGTCTGATTTGCCCAAAAGTTACTCATTTCAATGGAAACTCATTTCTATTAGAAAACCGTATTGCGGACTGAGTCATCGATACCAGTTGTATTTCCATGAAGTGTGATTTCACACTGGTTGACTTTTTCTACGCAGCAACTGGTGCATTAAACCCCGAGTTTAAACTATAGTGTTTATTTCTGCCTTTATTTTTGTGGAAGCAAACTGGACAAATGTGGATTTCTCCATCCTAATAAAATGTTTTTGCTGACGAAATGATGACCTGGCTTAGGAAAATGAGCTAGATTAAGCTAATTCTTTATCCTTAAAGCTAACTACAACTTTTCTTTTGGGTAAATTATCTCAGCTGAGACTTAAATTCTTAAATTTGATTTGGTTGAAAGGGATAATTATTATTTGGTTCCTCCAGAAATATTTTCTAGCTGCAAACATTGCCAAGTGGGTCTCTTGTACAACAAATGATGAATATTTTAAAAAAGAACCTCATGACCACCGTTAAAAGCACGGTGGAGGATCTGTGAAGCTGTGGGCCAGAAACCCAGGTTTCTAACCTGAATTTTTTGGGGGGAAAACCAAATATTAGAGTTTTTTCTAACATTTATTTTTCTGAATTTTTTTTTCTAGTTTGCTCTGGGGTTGAGGAACACCTTCACTCGGCCAAACCTCTCCTCTCATCGAGACTGTGACACGTTTTTAAAAGACCAAGAAACAGACTTCATCACTCTCCTTTCTCTCTGTAAACCCAAATGTCTGACAGCTGTGGGGGAAAATGTCCAAAGTGCATAAATATATCGCACAGAGTCATACGTCTCTGGACTCCTATGTCTGTAAATTAGATTGTCTTTGTGTTTTATGTTTTGATTTGGATGTACAGAAGGACCCCGGTTTCCTTTTTTTTATTAGTAATTTAAAAGACAATAAAATGTAAAAGGAGTGTGATCCATGTGGTGTTTAAATCAAGAAATCAACTACTAGTTGTCGCATGTAAGACAATAAGACAAGTACGATTTAAATTTTTTTGGTCTGAGTGCGACTCAAATTTTAAAATCAAGAATTAGTTCCTCCGACTCACGCAAGACCAACATGTTACACACAATCTCAAAATATGCACGCACTGCACTAATATTCTGGCTAAATGTCTCAAATTTAAAAAGCTGCACAAACGCCATCCAAAGTAAGGCACATTTAACATACTTTTCGGCCCAAATAAACAGAAGTTTTGATAAAATATCAGCCCAGAATTATCCAGAAAGCTTGTTAATGGCTGCAAAAAGTTTGATTTATCTGCAACCTCATCCAAATGTGAGTGTGGGTGCTGGTACATATTTGTGTCTGTACGTTTAATTTTCTCATTTTTCAGGTTGCTCTGCTTTTGCTGAGTGAGCATGATTGGCAAATTTAGGACAGTCTCATATAATATGTGAAATAAAATAATATGAAGAAACATGATTCTTATGTATTAATATTCTTTATTATATATATATTTAAAAAATCCAACATGAATTTAAATAGTATTTCTTGCAAAGAAATTCTCTTCGTATAAAAATTTGCCCTCAACTAAAATTAAAGGAATTTAACAAGAAGTCACAATAAAATACGAAATGTATTCAGTAATTATGGCTTCCCCAATAAATACAGCGTTTAACTTAATATAAATATGTTAAATATTCTCTGAATAAATGTTTGACTTTATAGCCTGTGAGGGCTGCATTGTTTGATCAGCAGATTGCTCACACTCCTGAGAAAAGCAGGGATTTCTGAGCTGCTCCCTCCTAAAAGACACTAGTCTGCTTCCGTCTCGTGGCGATCACTAATCTGCGTTTTTCGCACCCGCCTTTTAGTCAGCTCCCTTTTCCACTCGACCAGGAAATCGTGGAGTGAGCTGAGGACGCCGTGCGCCATCATCTTCCTGTGGTACGAATCGAGGCTTTCGAGCTCCTTAAGCAGCTGCAGCTCCTGGCTGCTGGTCAGAGCCACAACATGGTCAGCAGTTCTCATCTGTGGGACAGAAATGCCAGCAGGTTAGAGTAGGACCGACAAGTGCGCCGGCGTAATACAGAAGAAAACATGTCTCTGTCCTTCCACTTTCCATGAATACGCGTGGCTGTAACCTTTTATGAACAACCAGCGAATCCTGTGCAGCAGGAGCTTTACTTTTTGAACTAAATTGCTGTAATAAATCAACACTTTCACTGACACTATAGTGGCAGGCAGCTGCACTCCTAGCAGCACCTGACACAAACAAACATAGTCGAACAAATGTCAGGTCAATGCAAGTGTATTTGCTTTGAACCAGCAAAACAAAATGTAACATTTCACATTTAGAACTTTAGAGCCCAATATAATATGATTTACTTTGTAGGTGCTTTTCATATTTGGATTTTCCTCATTTCCACTCATTGCAACTCCACATGACCACCTTACAGCAGGTCGTGTGTAAGCCCTTTTAGTCGTGACTTATTTCTGGTGATTCTGTTGCTTTATTTCAAGGCCCTCGTAGAATTGACTGAGCTCTGGACTGTCAGCTGAGGACTCACCGCTCGCTTGATCTTTGTGATCAGCCGAGGAAGGGCCGCTTTCAGTTCAGTCACGATGGATTTGCCGGGGTACTCCTTGTCGACGTGTTTCAGGAGAACCGAGTACGTCGTCAGATCCTGAGCCAGCTGCTGGAGGCGAGCCTCCTGGGAAGTCAGAGGAAGCGCCGTCAGACGTCCACTTCATGAGGAGCAGCAGAGCAAAAAGAGAAGGGGATCCCACTCACCTTGGACTTTGGGAATTTAACCGGGATTAAGGTCCTGTTCAATGAGTTGTAATCAACGTTTCCACGGAATTCATTCTTGAACTGACAAAAGCAACACATGACACGCAACGGTCATAAAATAAGAAGGAATTAGATGTTTTAAAATGAGCTCAATAAATTCAAGTAACTTAAGAAAGAGAGATCTCACCTCTTCTTTATGGCCTTTGGTGACTTTAAGAATCTGCGCCAAGGTCTCCGTGATGTTGAAAGGATCAGTCGGGGACGGCTTCGTCTGGACCTCCTTCTCTCCCTCACCTGAGCTCTCTTCTGGAGGGAGGTCGGTGACGGCGTCTCCCAGAGGAGCTCCCAGGACGCAGAGAGGCAGGGCCGCTGCCAGCATCAGGGCGGCGAGCAGTCGTAGATCTGAGAGCCAGACAGTTAAAGCATGAATGAATGAAGGAACGAAAAGAGGAAGAGAAGAGGCCCACACGCAGGAAGCCGCTCGCAGCAGTTCCGGCTGCAAATGACTTACTGATTTTAGAGTTCATGACGGGCTGCCGGGAAGTTCTGAGTGGGTTTCCTCGTTGCTGTCGGACCCTGAATGAGATGCCCCGTCCTGGAGACGGGCCCTCATTTTATATCCTGCAGAAGCGAGGGATTTTCCAACAGGACTGCCTCCATACGACAAGTTTGCATGATTGTGGCTATTCATGAGATTTTTTTAATGAGGACTGTCCTCAAAGTGAGTATGAGGTGGAAACCCAGAGACGCTACATTTTTACTATTTGTTTTGTTTTTTGTTTTTGCAATTGTTGCTTGACCCATCAAGAGGAAACACTAAACAAAAATAGATACATCTGATTGAAATGTTTTGATTATTAAAAATAGTAAGAATTATTATTTATCTAATTGTTGGAAAACACTGGGTCAAACTTTAGAAAAGCTTACAGGGCTAAATAATTATTTTTTTTTTTTTATGAATATGTGTTTTGCAAACATAATGCTGCATATAAGAGTTGTTTCAAGCGGGTTTGAAACAACATTGAAACAAGTTGTGGTTTCAAGCAAAACAGAAGTTAGTTTTCGTAGTCTCTGCCTGGGTTTATGTTGTTACTTTCCATTTTGTTTATGCATTTTGATTTCTGAAGAGTGTGACTTTATTTTAAGAATCTTGTCTGAATCATTATTATTATTTCATCAATGTTGCTTTGCTGTTTCACTGCACTTTAAGAAGAAACTTCATGTTTTCCCTCTGTAACACAGATAAACATGAACACGATGCAGAATTAAAGATTAAATAAATGCTTCCTGAATAAAAAGCGTGAAGTTAAATTATGTCCCAAGGGGTTCTGGACATTATTAAACCCACAGAGTTAAAAAAAAAAAAAGAAGAAGAAGAGAAAAAAGGAAACATTTTGGACTCAACAAAATTAACATAATGAATTTAAATACATCTGAGGTTTTGACGTGAGGGAACTCAAATGACACAATCCAGATCTTATTCATCGCTGTGGTCAGAAACTAAGATATACATTTTCAACTCTGTGCAATAAAAGGATTTTTATGAGTTTCTATATAGTTTATTTAAAAACCACTTCCTTCCCACTTCCTTCCCACATAGGCATGTTTGAAAAAGTTCTCTTTTAATTATTGTAGAATATGAACAAGTTCTAAACACAAATTTATTTAGGTAGTCTGACGGAAAGGCTTTCAGAGAACAGTTGGTAGTTTTAAAAAAAATGTCAGTATTAATCAGGTAACAACCTTTAAAAAGGTGATTTCTTCTGAAACAATGTGGCTGGTAATAAACACAAAAACCTCAACATTTATAATGAAACTTTATGTGATTGCGAAACACAAGGTACGTATAATAAAAATAGTATGGTAATTATAGAAATGTAAAGAAACAAATGTTTATTCATTTGCAATTTTTAACAAAAACAAAGACAAAAAAAATCCAAAAACTTGACATGAACACATATTGATTTCTGTGGGTCGACGGCTTTCCCTTCTACTTTCAGTTGCAGCTCTTCTCTGGTGCGTTTCTTCCAGTTTTGCACATTTAAAACCGGCATCACTGTGGCTTCTGAGGGAAACATCCCCTACTACATGTTGATGTCACCGCAGTGTTTCCTGTGGGGATGCCGTGTTTTCTTTCACAAATTATCTCTTGCATGTAGGCCAAAAGATTCATTTTTGGTTACATCTGAACAGCCTCCTACACGACCATTAAAAAAAAAAAAAATCCTGCAGCTCTTCCATAAATTCCCCAGTTTTGGATTGCACAACTCGTAGTTTTCTTGACTCTCCCAGCTGAGCTGCGGGTCTTCGCAGCTCCCCCAAAGTTACTGTGGGCTTCTTTGCTGCGTCCCTGATTTCTGTCCCGTCATTTTTCTTGGGACCTTTATCTGTCATCGCTGAGCACACGTCATTTCTCTCCCAGATTGTGTAATGTCATTTACTTTCTGCACACAACACAAGATACACTTGCAACAGTTTTAATTCTGGATCTCTAAATTCTCTTATATATTTATTTCTCTTTCCCCACTGGTGAGACTTTTCAGAGAACTTTCTCTCTGTAGGGGGTCCAAGAACAGGGAAGTATTGTGGTATTTTTTGCTGTGATGTTTGAAACTTCAGAATAAGTTGGTGGTTATGGGGCAACGGGGCAATCACTGGGAAGTGCCGATCTTCAACATTCTCGTCCTCAAACCACCATCGGGTTTGTTGGGTTAACTGAATTTTGGCAAAATAAACATAATACAAGTTTCTGCTTGTCTGATCTTTTATTTTCTGGAATAAACTAAAGGTTTGGTGAAACAGAGGCAGTTGCTTCATTGTGAATCCTGCGTTTGGGTTTCAGTGATCATACAGGCTCTATCATATAGAGATGTCTGTTGTGAACTAAATGTACATTAGTTTAACACTTTAACTCTTAGACCAGAGTTACGTAACTGTGTTTCGTCTCACACATTTCTGAATCATTACTTACTTGCATTGTAGGTTTTGCTTTAGGTACCAGAGAAATATTAGAGGTCGTCTTTGAACAGTTTTCAAAATGCATTTGGGAACATGGATACAAGTTTTCAACAGACCTTGGGAAAATGTAAAGGCAGCTCCGTATTCTGATGGAAAACAAGCGAGAGAATCTGAATATTCTGTGCAGCTAAAAATAATCGACAGGAACTTCCCATTTCTTCACGGTTTGTTTGATGCTGTGGTGAGCACAAAAGCATTTTAGCTGAATATTGCTCTTTTTTAACCGTGTAGGGAAATTATTGAATGAGTCTAATTGGAATGACTTTTGATTCTTTGTATGAGTTCTGGTTAAAACCAAGAACCAACAAATACAGAATGACCTTGTTTATTAAAACGCCAATGCATTCACATTTTAGCATTAGGTTTTATGTGATCAAAAGCTCATCAAAGGACAGGTATTGGAAATAACCTTAGACAACAAGTGTTAAAATCTATGGTATTTATTAATACTCGTGATTTGTTCCTATAAACTTATAAAGTAAAGCAAGAATAATAACAGATAAGCCAACTGGACTGAACCCAAGATGAATTTAAGAAACTAAAAGCAGATCACAAACACATCACACAGCAGAGCTACAGCAAACACGAAGAAGCAAATGTTTTAAATTGAGGCAAAACTGACAACGTAATCAAGCAAAGACACACATTACCTCCATTTCTACATGTTATATAACAATATAACACTAACCTGTTGTTTTTTTATTCATGAACCGCAGCAGTGACGTTTTCGAACATGAAGGCCGAAGGTTTTACAGCCACTTCCAGAGGACAGAGTTAGGAGAGCAACTTGCAGGAATTACTCTTCCCAGGCATTTAATACATGGGTGTGTAATGATATTACCTGCATGTTGCTGCCTCTTATCACAAAATAAATTATTGAGTGAGATAAACTGTCATTCCCATGACATACCTTTCCCATAACTCTTGCTTCCTCTTTGCTGTCCTCGAGTGCTGCATTCAAAATATTCAAGATATAAGAATGCTTCCCTTGCAGACAATTTTCCAGTGGTAGATTCATACGTGCACATGCAGTTATTATTGTTGTCTGGTAATGTTTATGTAGTAACATACTCCCAGATACATTCATCATGAGGGGCATACGGGTCGTATCTAAATGGGTTAAAGAGTATTCTCCCAAAAATGATGAGTAACACCATTCATCTTTGCATATTATCTGCAGATTTCTCCAGCCTTAGCATTAACCTTGTGGCTACATTCACACTGCCATGTCTTGTGTTATGGACATGCAGGCCATAAACCAGCTACCATAAATTAGCACTCACTCAAATAAGGTTTTCTGACGTCTACGTCTAAAGAGATACAAGCGAGGTGACATGCATAGTTCTATAAATTTGTACTGCCTATCTGAGCTCTACGTTCAGCTAAATGTGAACTATGCAAGGCTTTCAATAGGTTGCTCGATTTCCCCTATTCTCTTTTTTAATTTCCCTCAACTAAGGCAGAGACCAAGAGATTGATGACACAAGCAAACAACCCCTCCCTACAACAGAGGTAGCGCCACAACTCGGGTGACTTAAAATCTTGTAAATTCTGTGTCAGTGCATTGTTGCACCTGGATCAGACCGGCCTCACTGAGGATGTTAAAGATAATCTTTATCAAGGGAACGTCCTTCAGCGCATTAGAGCCAGTCCATCATCTGCAAACGAGTCAGTGAGGTTCCCCTTGTCCTGTCACTTTTCTTCCTTCAGTCGTCCTTCTACTGAATTTGTTCGAATCATACCAAATTCGAGAAGGGAGAATAAGATTAGTTGTAGGTGTATTCTTTTTTGTAAATTGTATAAAATAAGAATAAACTTAGTCACTTTAAGCCCACTGGGCATGTAAAAGCTTCATTGCAATTGTTCTTTGTACTTTTGCAAGTGCTTTCACAATGTTGTGTTTGGATTAATAGACAGAAAATCTTAAAAGGAAAGAAAACATTTTTGTGCAATCCAACGGACTCACACGCCACATGCAATAAACATCATGTTTGACTCTGCAGAGAGGCTTTTTAGTCACTGAGTGTGTACTGCGTACTCTCACACTTACATTTGAAGAACATTCAACTGATGACAAAGTGGAAAAAATTCAGCTTTTTTATGAATTTACTGCGTCAATGTAATTATTGCATTAATGTAAAAAGATAGTTCTATTTAACAATAAGAAGTGCTTATCATTTACAGATATAGCCATTTATCCTCATTGTAACAGTTTAGTGGGGAGTTTTATCAATATTTTCTGACAGAATCGGCCTTTGAGGACATTCGTGATCTTAATATTCCCCAAAATGAAAATGAATTCAACACCCCAGACTAAAGGAAACCCTCTGAAATGCTATGTTTCTTTTCATCATGCAAACATCAAAAATGTATACCAATTTTTAACGCCTGTGGTAAAACTGTACTAATGAGCTGCAGTTTTGGGGGGACTCTGCAGATAGAAATCTTTTGAATATATATTTTTTTCAACCCTTAATATATTTATATTTTGTCCAGCTGTGACATGTGG